GGGGCAGCTGATCTCTCTATGTTGATATTATTGTTGTTAATATCTACTACTTAAGTTAATTTCACAGACATAATATAGGAAGCGGGGAGGGAAGTAAAAAACCTAAAGTTTAGGGAGTATGTTTCCATTTAAATTCCTAGAAGTCAGGAGGTTGATTATTTTGGAGGAGGACCAACAAGGCTAACAGGGGTTATCTAGGATGCTGGTAAGAGCCTCCCATAACTTTGAGTTGCTACCAATGCAGAACAATCCTCCCTTGGTTACCAAGGCTGTAAATCAATCAATCAATCTCTCTCTCTCTCCATTTGGTGTCTTTACTTTTATTTTCTTCTTTTATTATTCATTTCAATGAAAATTTACAGAGACTTTGGATTTCCGTTCAACTAATCTATCTTGTTGAGAGTCTTCCTCTCTTTCACAAACACTCCACCTTTCTAAGTATGAAGTCCTTTCCAGAGATGGACCCCTCCTGCTAACATGTCCAAAGTAGGTGAGATTAGTTCTCAATACTCTTGTTTCTAAGGAACACCCCAGCTGCATTCTGCTACATTGAATTTGTTTGTTCTTTTGGCAGTCCATGATATATTCAACAACATCACAATTCAAAAGCCTTAATTCTTCTTTGGTCTTCCTTCTTTATTGTCCCTTCACATGCATATGAAGGAGTGAAAAAATAGAATGGTTTGGGCCAGGTATTTGTTAGATTTTAAGCAAACATTCCTTCAATTCAACACTTTAAAGAGGTCCTTGGCAGTAGATTTTTCCCATGGACTGCTAGGAGAACAAGCAGTTTGAAACCAGGCTGCTCATTGGAGGCAAGGATTCTGAACTCCGGTCTGATATACTGTGGACATTTTGCAAGGAGACCTTGGAGAGGAACATCATGCTTGGGAGGGTGGAGGGACAGCGCAAGAGAGGAAGACCCTGGATGAGATGGATTGACTCAGTGGCTGGGGTAATGGGGGTAGGTGTGCCAGAGAAAATAAAGTTGGCACAGGATAGAGCAGGGTATAGGGCTGTTGTGCATAGGGTCGCTATGAGGTACAAGTGACTCGATGGTACATAACAACACCACCACCAACAACAAACAATGTCTTTTGATTTCTTGACTGCTGGTATCATGGTTATGGATCCTAGTGAAATAAAATCTTTGACATTTTCAGTGTTTTCTCATTGGTCTAGTTGTGAGAATTTTTGTTTTCTTTATGTTCGAGGGTTTCGTGGTATAGTTGGTTGGCAGCTGTGTTACATAACCCAGAAGTGGCACCTCTCTCGTGGTTCAAATCCTCCAACAAGAGAGAAAGTTCTGCAATCTCCTCCCATTCGATCAACATTCTTGAAAACCCACTGGAGGGTCAGCTCTAGATTCGTTCCAACTCTACAGCAATGGCTATTTGACTATGCTGAACTATAAAGAGCGCTGGAAGTCCCTGTATGAGACTTTGAAGGGAGTCTCCTGTGGAATTCAAATCTGAGAAGGACAGGATCATAATTTCGTTCTCGCAAGAGAGTAAATGTCTCAGTCGTGCGGATTACAGCCGAACCCATCTAGTGGTACCAAGAAAGACAGACCCTACAATCTGCTTCTGTAAAGACTGCAACCAACAGCAAACCCTTTCAAATCTTTCTAAAACAAAATGATCGTTTAGCCCCACCAGCTAAAACTGCTGCAGTTAGCATTCTGCTCTTTCAAGAACTATTTCTATGAAGTCCAAGTGACGCTAACAGCTGGAAGAATCAGATCCAAAGCTCAGGTGGCAGTGAATTTATGCTAATGGGGGAGAAATCATTTGGAAGATTAGGGCGAGAACAACTGGATACCTTGAAGAACGTCATCAGTGTCTCTGAATTGTTCGTGGAGAAAAGGAACATGGAGAAAATGACCTGGTGTACATTCTGTGTGATATGCACTCAATAACAAAAGGAAAAGAAAGCTCAAAGCGTGGTTCTGCTCTGTGAAACCTGTAGTTTCCCTGAAAATTGTCTCAATGGTATTTCTTTTTTTTTTTCTTTTTCCTTTTTTTTCTTAAAGAAAGAAATAAGAAGCTGTTGCTGGTGAAGAGGAGTTGGTTGGGGAAGACGCAGTAGGTCTGAAGGATGGAGGCGTTTCTGAGGATGCTGTTGGACCATTTAATAGATTTTCCTTCCTTTCTAGGTTCAAGGAAGCCTAGGGCTGAATATCACCAGTTCAGTCATGTCTGCCACAGGCATCATAATGACTGCGGTCAGCTTGAGTGTTTACTCATTCTATTATCCTCATTGTGACAGTGGACATCCACCAGGAAACTGTGACATGATCGTGACCATCTTAACAGTGAGTGTTTCCTCTTTTATGGGGTTCTGTGGTGGAAGCAGGACATGGGATGCCCGCTATTAGCAAAAGTAACAAGCAGCACTCTTTAACTCTTAGCTCATATGGGGACTTTGAAGACCTTGTGAAATAAGATATTTAGATTAAGATAGATAAATAAGATTATTTATTAGGCCCTTATCTCCACACATTTCTCCTTTTTCCTTCTCTACACTTGTTCAGTATCTATAGACAATGATATAGGGGGAGCTTTGTGATAAGAAGCTGCACTGCAATCCTGTAGGCACATGGTTCAAATCCACCAGATGGGAAAAGGATGGGCAATCTCCTCCCAGGCCATTTATTGCCTCTGAAAACCAAGTGGAATGTCAGCTCTGGGTCAGTTCTGACTCAACAGTACACAACAACAACACGGCATAAGAAAAGAAAACTCGTAATTATTGAACAGCTGAGACCCAGCAGCTTATGCTGCGTCCTTTGCATACTTTCTTGGTTTCATTTCTACGACCAGGATGTGCTCCAAGAATGTCTCCAGGGCTTCTTGACTGAGCTGCTCATGGAATTACCTGGCTCCCTAAATAAAGTAAAATTCTCTTGAACATTATCCTACAAATGATAAACCACTCAAGGTCCCTCCAAACATCTCTGGATGTCCTTGCATAACATCCTTTCAATCTCCAACATCCTACTTCTTCTGACGGTCTCTGTATTTTACAGATGTTCTGTCGCAATTGTTCCTATGTGGATACTACCCTACAACTTAATTGTTCAAATGCTTATTATTATGGACTGAATTTCACCATCCTCATCATCTCTGACATACTGGAGCCCACTTTTACAGTCACTACGTCAATCCTTTATTGTGAAGGTCTTCCCCTCTTTCGCAGACACTACACCTTTCTGAGAATGCTATCCTTTTCTAAGGAATGGGCCCATTAACAATATGCCCAAAGTATATGAGACAAGTAGAGTATGTGGTTTGAATCCACCAGCTGCTCCAGGGGAGAAGGATGGGTAATCTCCTCTCATGTGATTTAATGCTTCTGAAAACCCTCTGGAGGGTCAGCCCTGGGTCTGTTCTGACTGGAAGGCACACAATAACAATAACACCGTGCCCAAAGGATGTGAGCCAAACACAGCAGGTGCAGTGGAAGTTATTTTGTTCTGAGCCCTGGCTAGTCCTTCGTCTCTTTGGCTTTGTAAGCAGAGTCTGGAACTTGCCCCCTCTGTCCTCATGCTCCTTTGTTCTGCATTTGTTCCTAGGGCATGGATGCCATCGTGCTCCTTCTCAGTGTGCTGGAGTTCGCTATCACTGTGTCCCTCTCCGCCTTTGGATGCAAAGTAACCTGTTGTAACCCTGGTGGGGTGAGTATCAGGCTTCCTTTGGAGGCATCTGCTTTAGTTTTCTGTTGCTGTGGCTTAAATTGCCAGAAATTTAGAGATTGAACATAATACACATTCATTATCTCCTAGTTTCCATGGTTAAGTCTGGGATTATCTGGATCCTTTCTTCAAACTCTTCCAAAGGCGGCAGACGGGTGCTGGCTGGAACTGTGGTCTCATCTGAGGAAGATAATCCTCTTTCCTGTTCAGATGACAGAATTCATTTACCCTCAGCTATAGAAGTCACATTCATGACTTTTTTTTTGGCTTGAATTTAGGTTTTTGTTTTTTTTTAATGTCTACCAATTAATTTCATTTTTTAGCTTTCACCAATAATTTATATACATTGTGGGGTTTTCCCCTTTTGTGTTTTATTTATTTTGGAAGCTTACTAATGATTTTATTTTAAGGTTAACTAATAGGCCCCTTTCACCCAATCAATGCATATTCACAGTCTAAAAATCAGTAAAATACCAATAAACAGACATGTACATTGTGCTTTATACAATCATTAGCATAACTTGCACTTGATATAATTAATTAATATTGATCAAGCAAATCGCCTTCGTCATTCATGAATATTATGTTTCATACGTTCATTCACATATATTGTGTTTGTGGACAATATGATAGTGTAGATAGAAAACCCTAAAGACTCAACAAAAACCCTGTTAGACCTAACTGACCAATTCAACTCAGCAGAGTGGTAGGATACAAGAATAACATATGAAGAGTTGGTTGAATTTCTCTACAACAACAACAAAGGAAAATACTGAAAAGGAAATATACCATTTACGATAGTCAAGCACAAGATGAAATACTTAGGAATAAAAATAGCTAGAGAAAGAAAAAACCTGTATAAGGAAAACTATAAAATACTAGTAAAAAAAGTTGTTACTGTTGTTGTTAAGTGCCATTGACTTGAGTATAACTCAAAGTGACCCTATGAACAACAGATCTGAGCCCTGTGCTATCCTGTGCCATCAAGTATAGTCTTTTCAATAACCTCCTACTCATCAGAGAGCTGGACAATGAATAAGGATGGTAGAAGAATCAATGGCATTGATTTGTGGTGTTGGAAGAGAGTGCTGAATGTCCCATGGAATGCCAAGAGAACAAACAGATATATCTTGGAGAGGGTGCCGCCGGAGTCCTCTTTAGAGGCAAGGATGGTGAAACTTCATCTCACATACTTTGGATATGTTGTTACAAGAGGGTATTCCTTGGAAAAGGACATCATGCTTGAAAGCAGCTAAAGAGAGGAAGACCTTCAACAAGATGGATTGACAGAACCGTACAGCAATGGGATCAAGTACATTTGAAATTATGAGTATGATATAAGAAACAATAAGAGACCTAAGTGGGAAAACATTCCCTGTTCAAAAGCCACACAGTCAAAAGCCTCTGAATAGTCAGTGAAACACAGATAGACATTCCTCTGGTACTCTGGTACTCTCTGCTTTCTGCCAAGATCCATCTAACATTAGCTGTAATATCCCTAGTTCCATGGACATTTCTAAACCCAGCCTGCACATCTGGCAGTTCTCTGTTGATGTGTTGCTCCAGTCATTTCTGGATGATTTTCAGCAGAATCTTTCTTGCGTGTGATATTAATGATATTGTTAAAAAAATTCCACACTCTGTACGGTCACCTTTCTTTGGAATAGGCACTAATATTGATCTCTTCCAGTCAGTTGGCCAGGTGGCTGTCCTCCAGATTTCTTGACACAACTTAGTGAGTACATTCAGGGCAGCATCTGTTTGTTGAAATATGTCAATTGCTATGCCATGAATTACTGGGGCATTGTTTTGATTGTGCTTATGCGAAACCTATACTTGAACCAAGAGTCAGTCATCAGAACAGAAGGAGGAGACACTGCATGGTTCAAAGTCTGGAACAATGTCTGCCTGGATGTATTCTGTCTCCATGTCTTTTCAATCTGTATGCAGAAATGCAGAAATGCAGAACAGATCATGCAGGACACTGGACTGTACAAGGACGAATGTGGCATCAGTATTGGTGGAAGATTAATCAACAACATGCATTATGCAGATGACAAAATCCTGCTTACTGAAACTGAGGAGGACCTGAAGCACTTGCAGAAGGTCAAGGTCTGTAGCTTTCAATATGGATTGAAGCTCAACATCAAGAAAAACAAAGATTCTCACTGCTAGGCCAATTTGCAGCCTCATTGTGGATAGTGAAGAGATTGAGTTAGTTAACAGTTTTAGTTAGCTTGGCTCCACAATCAACACTCTTGGTACCAGCAGCCAGGAAATCAAGAGATGAATTGCACTGGGAAAGTCAGCGGTCAGGGACCTCTCTAAAGTACTAAAGAGCAACGATATCAGGCTGGAGATTAAGGTATGCCTGATCCAGGCCATAGTCTTCGCAATTGTGTGCTATGCGTGAGAGAGCTGGACAATGACTAGGAATGATAGAAAGGTAATTGATGCCTTTGAGCTGTGGTGCTGGAGAAGAGTGCTGAATATACCATAGACTACTAGAAGAACAAACAGGTTTGTCCTAGAAAGGGTGAAATCAGGCTGCTCCTTGGAGGCAAGGATTCTGAAGCTTCATCTGACATACTTTGGGCCTGTTGCAAGGAGAGACCAGTCTTTGAAGAGGGACAACATGCTTGGGAGGGTGGAGGGAAAGTGAAGGAGGGGAAGACTCTCTATGAGATGGATTGATTCCGTGATTGGGGTAATGGGAGTAGGTGTGTCAGAGACAGTGAAGTTGGCACAGAATAGAGTAGGGTTTAGGGCTCTTATACATATGGTTGCTATGAGTCACAAGCCACTCAATGGCACATAACAACAACAACAACAAGAACAGTAAATTCCTATTTATGGATATGAAGACTCAACATTGTGAAATGACAATCCTACCAAAAGCAATCAATAGGGTCAATGCCATTCTGATACAGGTAACAAACTCACTCTTTAAGGAGAGAGAAAAGTCAATTACCAATTTCATTAGAAAAGGAAAGATACTTTGAACAAGCAAGCTTTTCTGAAAAAGAAAAATCAAAGAAGGAGGCATCATACTCTTTAATTTCAAAACCTGCTACACAACCGTAGTAGTCAAAATAGCACTGGAATGACAGGAACATAAATCAATGTAATAAAATAGAGAACCAAGAAATCAATCCATCTGCCAACAGTCAACTGATATTCAACAAGGAAATGAAACCCATGTCATGGGGACAGGACAGCCTCTTTAACAAATGGCGCTAGCAAAACTGGACAGCTTCTTTCAGAAAACTGAAACAGCACCCACATCACACTCCACACACAAAAATCAACTCAAAATGGACAAGATACCTAGAGATAAAATTAAGAACTACAAAGACTATGAAGGTAAAAGTAAGAACACACTTAGAAGCCCTAGTCTATAGCAAAAGAACAATGCACTATAAGAACCTCTTAAACTTCGCAGCCCTGAGTGAGAAGAGCTACCACTGCAAACCACTCTAAAAGGGACCACAATAGAAAGTCCTGGACAGAGTGGAAGAAATATGTGGACTCAAACTAAAAAAAATATAAAAATAGGCAGATTTACTGATCCAACAGAGACTGATGGAACTTCCAAGACTATGGTCTTTAGGGCTCTTTTGAACTTGGAACAAAACTTACCACTCTCAGCTAAGAAAGCCTGTAAGGTAAACAGGAACAGAAAGGAAATATTCCTCAGAGCAGTGAACCATATAAGACCAAGAGGGTAGCATTTGCCTAGGTATAAAGGTCAGAAGGCAAGGGGTGAAAAGGGAATGGAAGGATTAATGGAAACAAGAATCACACAGAGGAAGTAGGAAGAGGATTGTGAGTGTTGTAATTAATATCTTAAAACAAGATATGTATGCATGGTTGAACAGAAGGGGGAAAACCCACAACTTGCTCTATTAACGTTGATACAAATCATAGTAAAAAATATAAAACAGTAGTGTCAACGACAATGAACATCTTTGCTCCTTTGATTTCCCAGGAACCTCTCTCTGCATACCATACTCCTTGTTTTTAAAGAACTCTTTATTTACGTTAGGAGCTCTGGTTGTTTAGTGCCAATCCAAAGGCATGGGGTCTAAATTCACCAGCTTCTCTGTGGGAGAAAGATGGGCAATCTCCTCCCATGCACTTAACTGTCTCTGAAGACTCACTGGTGGGTCACCTAGAAGGCAGTTCCTACTCAATGGTGCATAACAACAACAATAACATATTTAACACCTTGCTTTACTTGTTGGATACCATAGGACAATAATAAACACACACACACACACACACAAACACAACACAACCATTAGCGTCTCGTGCCAAGAACTATAACTGAAAGTTTGCCCTCTGTTTCCTTGACCTAAAGGAGAAACTCAGTGGGGTTCTAACTGGAAAAGGGGTTCAAAAAAGAAAGAGTAGCTCCTGACACATTGTGTGGTGTGAAAAGGGAAGCCCAAATGGTAGTGCTTTGGTCACTCATTTACGGTGTTCTGCTTGATTCCGCAGATTGTGTTAGTCATGCCCACAAATCCTCATGCGGCAGAAGCAGCACTTCCTACATCACCGGCAGAAGATTCAGAGCCTCAAACGAAACACCAGAAATATCTTCCAGAATATTCGTCTTGATTGTAATAAAAGAACTCTACTTGACAAAGTACTGGAATCAAACTAGAATTTTTTTTAAAAAATCATATCTTTTCTAATAAATCTAGACTAATGTTTTCATTTTTCCCCAAGCACTTGATGACTTCTTTCATCCGCTCTCTGTCAGCGTAGACGCTAAGTCAATAAAGCCTGCTTTTAATGAGCCAACAGCACTTGGAAGTTTCCATTCATCATTAGGAAGATTAAGAGTATCACGTTGGCAAATGATATTTGACAGCAAAAAGATAAAACCAGTTACTGGAACAGGGGCCTAAGCACTGTGTTTCTGCTCCCCAATTGGTTGATCTTTTCTCCCAACCTTTGATGACACAAGGTGTTTGCCTTCAGAAATCTCAAATACATGCCTCCACCTACTGCCTTGCTGATTTCCAGGTTCATCCTGGGGAAGGTGAAGCCAGGCGGGTCCATGGAGGCAAGGATTCTGAAGCTTTGTCTGACATACTTTGGACATGTTGCAAGGAGGGACCAATCCTTGGAGAGGGACATCATGCTTGGGAGGGTGGAGGGACAGCGCAGGAGAGAAAGATCCTCGATGAGATGGATTGATTCAGTGACTGGCGTAATGGGGGTAGGTGTGTCAGAGAGGGTGAGTTTGGTACAGGCTAGGGCAGAGTTTAGGGCTGTTGTACATAGGGTCACTATGAGTTGCAGATGACTCAACGGCACATAGCAACAACATACATCAGTGGTAAAAAGATAGGCAGAGAGTGCAAAGGAATATACAAATGTAGTGGGGAAATGAGATGTTGCCTAATAATATCTGGCTTTGGTTTTCCAAAATGCCAAAGACTAAAATGCTCCAGTAAATGTGCCAAGTTGTGCTATCCAAAGGACTATGGTTTGTTCTCCCCCACATAGTGGGAGAAAAGTGGAGAACAAAATTAAAATCATAAAAAGTACACTCAAATGTCAATAGCTATAGAGGTGCTTCAGGCCTTTTGTTCATAGAGTCACTATGAGGTTGTGCTCAACAGAAAGGCAATCAACAACAACAACAACAACTGATATTATAGAAACGGGTGAGACCTCTGAGACTATTGCCCTTAAATAGTCATCAAACTTTGAACAAATCCCATCCCTGGGGGAGTCACCTTTCAAGCAAATAATAGGTAGGCCTAGTGAGGTGTTTGTGATAAGGCCTTCTATTTAAAAACCATAGGCAGTATGGTGTTGGAGACCAGTTTGGAAGTCATCTCCAGGAGCTAGTTCTACAGAAACTGTTGGCTGGAATGGTTGAGCTGTAAGATAGAATGCTGATTCACTAAGGAAAATGAGGCATTTGTGATAAGGCCTGGTTTAAATTGGTTTTGGTCAAACATTCTTCTAGGTGGTATAGCACTGGTCTGCACATTGCTGTACAGAGGTAACTCATGGTTGCTGTGATGCTAAACACTGTGACACTGATGTGCCAAGTGCAATGACAGTCACCCATGGTGGAAAGTGTTTGCTGGAGCTTCCCCATTAAAAGAAGCTTGGAAGCAGGAGTGACATCCACTTCCAAAATAGCTTGCCTCCGAAACTCTATGAACAGTGCTCAGGTCTTTCATTCATAGGGTTGCTATTAACCACAACAACATAATGTGAACACCTGTAAGGAGAAAAACACAAAGTTCAGAAGGAAAGAAGGAACAGGATTGAGGGATAAATTGAAAGAGGGAGTCCAGGGAAGGAGCAGAACAAGTGGTGTGAGGGTATGACAGCTAATATCACAAAACAAAATGTGTGTCTATCCATCCAAGGAGAGACAGCTCCTCAGTAAGGATTTGCTGAACTTGTTTAACATAGTTGTTGTTGTGTACCGTGGAGTCAGAACTGACCCACAGCTGATTCTCTGCTGAGTTTTCAGAGGCAGTTGATGGCATGGGAGGAGATTGCCCAACCTTCTCCCACGGAGCAGCTGGTGGCCTCGAACAGCATACCTTCGGGATTGCAATACAGCTTGCTGCTACTAGGCCACCAGAGCTCCATTACCCCCACTAGCAACATTAGCTACATTAGCAAAAACTTGTTTTGAAAAATCCACTGAATGTAAAATATTTCTCAAGTATTTTGCACCTAATTGTGAACTTATTTCCCAGAAGTCTTGTGTTGTACTTGCTAAACTGAATACAAGCTTTGGATAATGTTCAAATATTACTTTTATGTGAAAGAAACATGTATTTTTTTAAAAAAAAAACCCACACACACAAACCTCAAGCCAAAATGTAGGTAAATTGATGGAAAATAACTTCGCTTTGTAAATTTTCACCCAAACCACAATGAAATGTAAAAACCCAAAACCAAGTTAATAGTTTCAGTCTTGTTGATCTGGTTCTGAAAGTTCATATTAATTTTTCATCCTGTGATCCTATGGAGCACATTTCTTTCTTTCTTTTTTTTTTCCTTTTTGTTTCTTTGTTTTAAAAATAAGCTTGGAAGGAGGAGTGGCATCCACTTCCGTAATAGCTTGCCTCCGGAAACCCTATGAACCTGGAGAGAGGATGGAAGACACACAAGCATTGAGGACTCTCCTTCACAGGGTCGCTATGAGTCGCCTGCGAGACTCGACGGCACTTAACAACAACAACAACTAGTTTATTTACAAAACTCGAATACAAATTTGAACAAATTCTTTCAATTTCCCTCACCCTCCCAACTCATCAAATTGTACAACCCAACCTCCTTCTACCTGCACTTCCACGTCCGTCTGCTTCCAGCCTCTCCCACCCCTCCTGGATCCTTATACTTGTTGGGTTAGGTTAGGTTAGTGGACTTAAAGAAGAAATCAGAGAGAATGAGAGAAAGCTTAATGCAGCTTCATTAAAGGGGGGGAAAGGGAGTTCCTGGGTGAGTTCCTCATCCTGGAGAGGCAGAATGGGAAGTCACACTGTGAACTTACTGGGAAGGATTTTTATAAACAGAGTCTTTAGGGAGGGACATTCCACTCTGATTTACGAGCCACCTGCTAGCTCAGCCAGACATGCAAGGCCGTTTTCTCTTCTTATCAGCAACAAGTAAGGCCAGGCCGTCAGCATTTGAGTTCTGAATTCTTCATTCTTCTCTTTGGCCATCTTTGCCCAGACTAACAATACTCATCCTACAGTAATGGTCTTACACAATATTTACCCTTATATGACTCAGTTAGTTCACTCAGCATACTGCTCTCCAGTCCCTCCCAAGTTAGGTAATAATTTATCAAGTTATTGCTCCCGCGTATTGCATTGTATTCCATTGTGTGAATGTACCATAATTTCTCAATCCATTCATTTGTGGTAGGACATTTGGGCTGTTCTGTGTTTTCGCAATGGTGAATAATGCTGCTATGAACATTGGTGTACAAATCTCAGTTTGTGCCTCAGTTCTCATTTTCTCAGGGTATATTCCAAGTAGCGGAATAGCTGGGTCATATGGTATTTCTTTGTTCAGCTTTTTGAGGAAGCTCCAAACCGTCTTCCAGAATGGTTGTACCATTTTACAATCTCACCAACAATGTATAAGAGTTCCTTTCTCACCACATTCTCTCCAGAATCTATTACTTGCTGCCCTGTTAAATTTTGCCACTCTTACTGGAGTGAGATGGTACCTCATTTTGTTTTTTTTATTTGCATTTCCCTTATTGTCAGTGATCTGGAGCATATCTTCATGTGTCTGACATTCAAATATCTTCCTCTGTGAAAATTCTTTCCATGTCTTTTGCCCATTTTTTAATTGGGTTATCAGTCTTATAGAGACCAACACAAAGAAAACTATAGAACATTTCTGAAAGACGCAATAAAAGACCTAAAGAAATTGGGAAATGTGCCCTGTTCATGGATAGGAAGACTTAATATGGTGAAAATGACAATCTTACCAAAAACAATCTATATGTTCAATGTAATACCAATGCAGATACCAAATTCCTTTTTCAAGGAGAGTGAAAGGGAAATTATCAAATTTATTTGGAGAGACAAGAGACCCTGAATAAGCAAAACACTTCTGAAAAACAAAAATGAGATTGGAGGTATAACACTCTCTGACCTCAAAACCTACTGTGCAGCAGTGGTAACCAAAACAGCATGGTACTGGTACAATGACAGGCACACCAACCAATGGAACAGAATTGAGAACCCAGAAATAGACCCAGCTATCTATAGTCAACCTATATTCAACAAGGAAATCAAAGCTATCAAATGGGGAAATGATAACTTCTTCAACAAATGGTGCCTGGCAAAACTGGACTTCCACCTGTAGAAAGCTGAAACAGGATCCACATCTCACACTATACACAAAAATCAACTCAAGGTGGATCAGAGACCTGGGAGTAAAGCCCCAAACCATAACGTTCTTAAGAGACAAACTGGGGTCAAGCTTAGAAGCGCTAGTCCAAGGTATAAAGAGACTGTCAAATACAATCAGAAATGCACAGCTCTAAAGAGGGTAAAATTGATGCATGGGACCTTCCGAAGATTAAATCTCTGTGCACATCAAAAGCTTTTTCCAACAGGTTGAAAAGAAAACCTACAGACTAGGAACAAACATTTGGTAATTCCATCTCAGACAAGAGTCTTACAATAAAAGTTTACAGAATACTCCCAAGAAAAAGACTGGAGCACATTTCTTCATGATTTAGCTATTTTTAAAAAAGATCATGAAATTTATTTGATTTTTTTTTAAAACCGCACACACAAAAAATGGCAACATACAGAGAAGAGAGTCCTGAGTGTGCACAGTAAGAGAGTGGTATGGCCCGGAGGGAGTAATCATCATTAAGAGAAGGACAGATGTCCTTAGGGACTAGAAGTTTTCTCTGACCTTGAAGGGGACAGGGAACAAGGAAGGGTAAGAGGCTGAGACGCATATGAGGTCCAGAGACAGAGGACTGGCATAAAGCACATCTGTTTGAACTCCAAAGAGAATCTAATCCCACTTTTCCAAGATTAACTCCTTGCACAAAAGGCCAAAGAAGGAATAATTCCTTGGGATTTCCAGGAAGGAATTACAAT